ACCACCCGCTCCAACACCTTGCCCAGAAACGGGATGTTGGCCACAGGTCTATAGTTAGTGGCCATCTCTGGATCCAGTGACGCTTTCTTCAGGACCAGTTGGACTACCGCCTCCTTTAAAGGGGCAGGCACCCGACCCTCCCTCAGAGAAGCATTAACCACTTCCAAGATCCAGGTCCCAGTCCCGTGCTTGGAATTATTTATTAATCAAGACGGGCAAGGGTCCAATAGGCAAGTGGTGGGATGTACTCGTCCAAGCACCTCGTCCACATCATCTGGCCGCAATAACTGAAATTCATCCAATAATTCTGGACCAGACGGCAGCATTGGCGTCTCCCCAGAAACCTCTGATTCATTAGTGGTGTCCAGCTCGTAACGAATCTGAGCGATTTTCTCCCTGAAATGCCTGGCAAAGTCGTCACAGCGGGCCTTTGAGGGTGGAACCGGATCTTCCTTAGGACCCGGGCGAACCAGGCCTTGCACCACTCGAAAAAGCTCAGCCGGACGGCATTGTGAGGAGGCAATGGAAGCGGAAAAAAACTTCTTTTTCGCCGCCTTCACCGCCACAGCATAGGCCCGATAGTGGGCTCTCAAGTGTGTTCGGTCAGATTCATCCTGTAATTTCCTCCACCTATGCTCTAGCCGTCTCCCAACCTGCTTCATCGCCCGCAATTCAGTTGTATACCAAGGGGAAGAGCGGGCTCTGCCCAGTGGGAGAGGACGCTTAGGAGCGATCGTGTCCACAGCCCTGGTCATCTCCCCGTTCCACAGTTCGACCAGAGCCTCGACAGGAGCACCAGTCTTGTCAGCCGGAAACTCCCCCAGGGCCTTCAGGAATCCATCCGGATCCATCCGGCTCCGGGGGCAGACCCATACAATCGGATCCACACCCTTACAGAGGGAGAGGCTGCTCTCGAGCACAAACCTCACCAGGAAGTTATCTGACCATGACAGGGGAGTCAAACATAAATTCCTCACCCTCAGGTCACCCTCTTCCTGCCCTGTCAAGAAAACCAGGTCCAGAGTGTGTCCACGTTCATGGGTCAGGCCGGAGACATGTTGAGACAGCCCCATGGCCGTCATGGAGGCCATGAAGTCCTGAGCTGCCCCGGTCAGACCAGACTCGGCATGGAAATTGAAGTCCCCCAGGACCAACATCCTGGGTGTCCTCAACACCAGGTCCGAGACGGTCTCCATCAGCTCAGACAGGGAGACTGTTGGGCAGAAGGGTGCACGGTACACCAACAGAATCCCCAATCTGTCTTGTTCGCCCAACACCAAGTAGAGGCACTCCAGCCCTGGCCTCGAAGGGACCGGAAGTCCCGTGAGAGAGATGGAGGCTCGGTAAACCAAAGCGACTCCCCCTCCCCTCCCCTCTGGGCGTGAACAGTGCTGAACCAGATACCCGGGCGGGCACAGTTGAGAGAGGGCAACATCCCCCCACTCTCCCGTCCAGGTCTCTGTTATGCAAGCCAGGTCGGCCCCCTCATCCACAATCAAGTCATGGATGAGGGAAGATTTATTATTGACCGACCTGGCATTGAGCAGCAGCACCGTCAGGCCTGAGGGGCGGTTGACAAGGCTACCTGGCAGCCTCTGGCTGGGGGCAGAACCAGAAAGAGGGACAGGTGTCAGCCATCTGTCCCTTCTTCTTCTACGCGGACATGTTAAGCCCCCACCGCTGTAACGTCCATTGCCCATGACCACGCCAATGGCAGCGCCCGTGCGCTCCCCAGGAAACATAAACGTCGACCTGGCCAGGGACGACTCCATAAAACATTAGAACAGAATAAGATTATAGAAGCAGTTTAAAAAAAAAAAACTCCCCCTTCCCTAACATTCAACCGTAGGCAGGCCAATTACAACAAGAGCCCCTTGCCAGCCCAGCCCCCTGCTCGGCCCCCGAATGGTGCCCAAACGGCGTCGACCGCCCTTTGGCTATCACCCTTCGGCCGCCGGCCCGAGGCCACCGGCCTCGGTTGCCACCGGCACTTTGAGGCCACAGGGCGCTTCCGAAGCCCTGCCCTGTCCCGCATGCTCTCACTCGTGCGGGGGGGGGGGCGGGGCAACCCAAACTGGTCCCGCGTGCTGGCCGGTGGTACTGGCCTCCGTCGGCGGCGCAGCGTGGCAGCGTGCAGCTGTTTGCACGCGAAGGTCCTTCCTTCCTGCAGCGCGGGGGAGCTGCGTGCAGCCAGTGGTGCGTGAAGGTCCTTCCTGCAGTTGCTTTCTTCGCATTATAAAAGGGGATTTTCTGGAATGGTTGTAAAATGTTAGAAAATCAGTTCTAGAAATAAAAAATATTATTGTAATCAGACCAAATGATTGATTATCATTTCTTAAATAAATCTGTTCTCGAAATTGAAAGTATATCTCCATTATGAGGTTGGGTTTTTTTAATAGACACAAATGCATTCCTTGCTTTAAGTTAGACAAATAATAGGTATCTCAGGCACTCATTGTAGTTTCAGATTTTAATAGGCTCCTCTTTTCTCTTTTTCCCAATTCAATTTTAGAATCTAGCAAGACCTTGGGAATTGCTCTTGGTAAGTAATTGGAGGGCATGTTATTTCAGTGAACAACTGCCTCTATTGTATTTTAATGCCTCAAGACAATGTATATGGAAAGTTTAATACGCTGTGCCCTTCTCTCCCCACATTATGGCTTAACTGCTGAAGATTCCAGCATTTTGATTGGCAAGGGT